GTCAGGGTAGTGCAAGCCGGTCCTTGACTACACTGTGAGTTCTCGAAAGCTATTTTCATATTTGTAGTATTGGGGGAGATGAACATTTGGTGAATGCAGTCACTGTATGTGGCTTCAGTGTGGATATTGCACTGGTATCAACCTCCACTTTACAGAAGAGGATACAGTCCCGATAGGTTAAGTCCTGCTAATGTCACACAGCTAGAAAGTGGTGAGCCCTGACTTAAACCCTGGTCATCCAGGTTCTATGCATGTGTTTTCTGTACTATCCACAGCAGAAGGCATTGTCAGCTGAGGAGACTGTAGCTGGAATGGGACTGGATAATTACAGCAGGAAAGAAAAACACACTGAGCACTTGGTCCTGGCAAAAGCAGAAGCAAAAGCAAAGTGGAAACTGAGAAGTGGAGGCGGGAGATTACTTAGCATTGTGGGGTTTCCCGTCCACTAGTTGGCCGAGCTTTTTCACCTGAGCTTCTGTCTCTTGCTGTAATGAAACGATTCCCAGGATGCTCAGTGAACTTGTGGTGAAACCGCTGGATTCGTCAAGTGATTTTTGAGGAGACATGAACAGGGTGCAACCAGAGGCCTGGAAATGAGAGTGACTCCCTGATTGCCCAAACAGGGTAGAATCCAGACTCCAAAGGCTATGTAACAGCGAGATGTGTGTTCGTCCCTGGCAAAATTCAAGGGTCTGTTAAAAGGTGGTTGTGTGGACACTTAAAAAGTGAAGTAGAGGTAGAGGACCCAGTATGGATTCTTTAAGAAGAAATCCTGTTAAACTCTGTCAACGAAAGGGTTTGAAAAGAACAAACAAAAACCAAAACCCAAATTCTCTTTTATTTTGGATGGAGCCTGGCAGATTAGAACAATGCTATACTGTTACTTCTGGATTTTTAGGATCTGTATCATCCAAGCCTTAAGAGGTCCCATGGACAAATTGGAGAATGTATGGCTACAGGTAAGTGCATTTTAAAAGCTTGTTTCATTATCTATTTCATTGAATATATATATACACCCCAGTTTATTTGTAAACACCTATGCCAGAAACCAAATTAACAAAGTTTATAATGTTAATATCATTATCAGAAACCAATCCACTGTATTTATAGTTTTGGGACTTAAAAATTTTAAATACAAACTGTGAATAATTGAAAATGAAAAAGATACAAGAAAAACAAAACTGAAAACATCAGGTAATAAAAACCAACTTTAGAAAAAATTAAGTTTCCCTGGTAATTTCTGCTGAAAATATTGAGTGGGGTTGTAGTAATTCCTTTCTCCCAAGTAAACAGAAAATTATTGCATTTTCAAAAAAGAAGTCAAGGCAATTTGATGATCATTTTAAAAAATGAGCTGAATTTCTTTAACCCCTGTTGAGACATGAAATTAAACCATATGTTTTCAGCTTCTACGTCCTTTTTGATGTTGTTCTTTTCTCTCTTGGTTTCTTAAAATAAGGGGGTCGGGGCTGAGGGAATGGTGACATAAAGCCAGATAAACACACTTTAAATATATGCAGTAACAAAATCAGATTAATATTCTTTACTGAATCTTCATTGGCAAATAATAAACCTTATATTTTAAGTGTTGAATTGCAAAAGCTCTGTTAAGAGTTAAAAGGTGCATCTTTATTCAACAATAAAAAGGAATGAAGTACAGATATATGTTACAACACAGATGAACCTTGAAAACATTATGCTAAGTGAAAGAAGCCAGACAAAAAGCATTACTTTTTGGATGTTTTATTGCCCTTGTCTAGCTCGGATTAGCACATAGTCTACAGGCACACACCTGATCATCTACAATTGCTCTCTTACAACACTAAACTATGTTTTCTACCTTTATCTTGCATCTACCTACCACTTCAGCATTTTATTAAAAATAAAAAAAATAATAATAATAAAGGGAGAAATGTGGGATCCACATATAAATCAAGTATAAAAATCAAACGAATATTCATATTTGATCTGATTGTTTATAGTTCATAATGCGTGATCAAAACCGAAAGTTTCTGTGATGAATGCCCTTGTACTGTTCACCATGTAAGAACTTATTCACTATGTAAGAATTCGTTCACCATGTAAGAACTTGTTCGTTATGCTTCAGAAGATTGGAGACTGACGAGAGTTAGGCTTGAGATGGATTAATGATTGTACATTGAGCATTGACCCCCCTATACTGAATTTTATTGTTGTTGACAACCATTTGATCAATAAATATGAGAGATGCCCTCTCAAAAAAAAAAAAAAGCATCACTTTTTGTTTGTTTACATGAAATGTCAGAATAGGCAAATCTATGGAGACAGAAAGAGGGCTGGGAAGGATGGGGGGATGGGAACATGCCAAGGGTAAGTGGGGGTGTTTGTTTTGGGGTGATGAAATGTTCTAAAATTGATTGTGATGATGGTTGTACAATTATGTGAATATATTAAAAATGGCTGACTTTAAATGGATGAATTATATGGTATGTGAATTATATTTCAATACAAAAAAAGGAAGAAACAAAAACAAGCAAAATGCAAATCAGAGCATGTTAATCCTTTCAAGGACTGCTTGTTTTGCACTTTGAATAAATTCTGAATGGGTTAAAAATGTTTTACAGAACTTTTCCTGCGATGTCAGTAAATCTTTATAATCTGAGTTAAGACCTGATAAAACAAGGTTAAATTATCCCTAACTGTGCTGATTTGCAGACCTTCAACAAGGTTCAACTGATATGCATAGCTTATAGATACCCACAGGAATTCTTAATGCCCCATCATATCATCTGTCAACACTGGGTATTTATTGTTTATACTCTTCCTACTCAACACCAAGAAGTTCTTTACATCTCTTCCCATTATTCCAGAAAGTAAGTAATAAAATGCACAATTAAACAAGAAATATTTGAAAACCGAACACATCAAATTACCATTACAATATTCGTAATGACTGCTTATAAGTGTTAACAGTCATCATAAAGCCTTTAATTTAGATTTATAAAGTGAAATGCAGATTGACTCAAGATGGTCAAGATGACTGACAATGCTGATTGCTAAAAAGCTCTTTATTTTTAAAATAGTCCATTTTTTAAAAGCAACTGTTTATTGCTTTAGTATGTACTATAATGAGCAAGGCTCCAAACAATATTAAATGTTTCCCAAAGTACAACACAGCATATGATTAGTGTTATTTAAATATGAGTTATACTACACCAGTAGGATGCTTTTTAGTGACTGGCGCTATAAAGCTGACTTCAAGAAAGAAAAAAAGACACCAATGTGAATAACAAATGATGTTACCAAATTATTGCAAATGAAGATTAGCAGTGAGAAGTGAGGAAGGTGACTGTTTATTCCATTCTGATAAGATGCCATCTCAATATTACATTCTTTGCAGCAAGTGGAACTCCCATGTCAGCATAAGATGATAAAGCGAACTTGAAAAACTGACTTTGGTGTGAATATCCAGTGTTGAAGCACCTTCCTGGATGAGTGAACAAAGGTAAGGACAGGTAGACAGTTTTTTACTGGAATGGAGGTTTTGAAGGCTTCCTTTTCTGCAAAGGTTGTGTGTAGCAGTTTTCCTACAAACTTTTGCAGTTACTTCAGAGCCAAACCTTGGGATTTCAAAGCACGGCTCAAGAAGAAACCGGTCGGCCTCTGTTGTGACAACATCAGGTTTCTGTTTGTTGATGACTACCTTAGTTGCTTCCTTAATGACCATATCAGATGATTCTGTACTTTCATTTGCTCTGAGCCGGAAGTTAAATCAGGTTCTCCTTTCTCCTTAGAAGTGCCACCAAATTTTCTGTTTGCAGGTTGGCTAGAAGCATGCAACATGGTGACATATCCATAGAATTCCCTGCAAGCCCATTTTGTTCCTTAATATTTGCAGTACTTTATGAATACCCATATTGACATGAGCACAGTCCTTGTAGTTGTTTTATCAAAAGGAAAGTTTCTCTCATCCCATCATTTGACACTGCGAGCTTATCTAAAGTAGAAATTATTAAGGATTATGACACCATGATATTATTAATGCTCAATAATAACCCTGAAATATAGCAGACCATTTTGAATTCTTATATCTTTGAGTAAAACAAATGAGATGTGACTTCCAGGCAGCACCTTCTGGGTGACTGGTTTAGTACACTGAGGGGTTCTAGTGCTGATTCAGTAGTGACAGGAGCCATTTTTGTTTAAACTGTTCCAAGTTGTAGGATGTAAATCAAAAAGGCTTTCAGAGTGTAAGAGATTCAGAAGAAAACCATAATTGGGTTCTGGCTATGTAGCTATGCAACTGTATTGTCAATCTGATGTGGAGATGATACTGTGTTTCTGTAAGTAACTGATCAAAAATATCTCTGTGGTCTGCACTTCTTAAGTGTTTTGAATCTTTTCTAGTCTCTAAGGAAGCTGTCTAGAGACTATGTGACTTTTTCCATCATTAAAGATTTTTTATCATTAAAAAGGCAAGAGCTGGGTCAAATAGCAGAGTAATATGTTTTGTATATCCTGTAGACAGACACAAACTGCTTGTCCTGTGTCAGCTGGATCCTGACTGTTGGTGTCAGTATCAGAGCTGACAAAGCTTCTTGTTCAGGACTCTTCCTTTCCTCATCGTCCTGTGGTAGGAATATCTTCTGTGGATCTATAGTACTTTTACATCTGTTTACAGATGGAATGTTCTGTCATAATGAAGGAAATTGATCTAAATTTATTGCTTGTCTTTTCTTACAGGCAAAGCCTGATTCGCAATATACGGACACATCATTGGTAAGCAGGGGCAAGTCTACCTCCAGGACCTTTGCCAGCCTGTCAACATGAGAATACTCATCTATTGAAAGAAATGTAGTTTGAGAGTAAGCATCTAGTTATCTTGCACTCAATTCATTCAAAACCTTCTGGAGAATAAAACTATTGTCAGATATTGATACAATTACATAAGTAAATCCTTTATCATATAAACTATGTACCACAGTGTAGTCTAGAGAGTTGAGGACCTGAATCAATAATCTTTTATATTTCTCTTATATTTATATAAGTCTTTTATATTTCTCAGGCAAAATGCATATCTTTATGTCATTTTTGTAATTTGACCAGCCTGTACCACCCACTATGCCTCTATGTCTGTTTCCATGGGCTGTTTTGGTAGAAAAGGTGACCGTGCTTCAAATGGTCACACTATATGTGACCAGTCCTCGAAATCTGAAAAACAAAAAAATTCGATGGTTTACACTGATTCGTAATATCAATGTATTGTCTATGCCAGGAAACCTCTGCCGGCCCTGATAAGACTGGACAATGAAACATAGCTCTTCTCATTGTTCATAATGTCCTCTTTCAGTATAATGCAAAAATGGTGTTACCCTCAGGCCCTTTACAACAATATCCAATAAATGGTAAAGGTACAGCATAAAATAATCTAGACTATAATAGTTCCTCAAAGTATGTGCATTCATCTTTCTTGACATGTGTAAGTTATACTTCTGTAGCATAGCTCCTTGTGGATATGTAGAGGACAGCCTACTTTGCCTGTTTTCTTTGTGAATTTTGAAGATCCTGTTACATGTTGGCCAGCAGCTTGCTCTGAGTGTAGCTGTGTGGAGCTCCGTGTCTGTGGTGTGAGGGCCCTGGGACAGTGAGGGTAGCTCTGGAGGTCTGGTGCCTTATGCTTGAGAATGCCCGGGCCATCCCGTGGTGAGAGCTCTGCACAGCTCAGCATGGCAGAGAACAGAGAAGAGGGACAGTGAGTGGAGGGTGAAGTTTGAACCCAGTTCTGTCATCAGAGCCACATAGGCTGCTGAGCAGCAGAAAGAGACTGGCATTCTGGGTCCTCATTATCAACCTGAAAGACATCCAGTCAAGTTCAGAAGGAGGTCAGGTGGTTCAGTCCTGCCTTTTACAGGTAGAGAAGCTAAAGCCCTAAAAGGCAGAGCAACCAGCATGCGGAGGGCAGAAGGCAATGTGGGCGTGTGGGGCCAGATGTGGCCCAGCCCTGACAAACAGGAAGCCTGAGGTGAGAAGGGGCAATTTTGTTCAAGAAAGAGGAGGCTGAAAAGTGGCTGTGCTCATTCCCACACTCAAGGTTTGGATTTCTTTATTGAGTCATAATAAATTTCCAAAACACTCTGAGTCTTGCTACTTGGGGCTGTCAGCTGGCATCTACCCCTTCTTCCCCAAACCCCACGCCCTTGCAGGTGCCTCTCAAGACTGCCCTGGAACGGGGCTGCATGGGAGCGGGGCTTCTGCAGCTGCATATCACCCTCTGTCACCTCGGCCCTGGTCCCTGCTTCCTTCGGTCTCACCTCCAGAAAACCGTCTTTCAACACCTTCTTCCCTGGCAGCTCCCCATTCTCCTGACAAAACCTTCCCCAAGGCATTGTCCTTACTTTTACTGTACTGAGGTTTTGCTTTTTTAGGCACTTTCTGTGCAGCTTCTCACTGATCCTCATAACACCCGTGGGGTGGTAGAAGGGAAGGGATTATTACTCCCAGGAAAGGAGACGGCGCTGCCCTCTTGATTCTGCAGAGTGGTCAGGGAACATCTCACATTGGCCTAGCAGCGCTCCTTTGGCCTAGGTTCTAGGTTTTCTCTTTTCTTTCTCACGTGTCCTAGAATCCAGTGGATTCTACTGGCAGACACATTACGCACATGGCTGATGACCTGCAGTTACTTGAAGGCTGTGCTCACAGCCTGTGTAGCTCTGGCAGTGTCCTTCCAGCCTCCGTAGCTGATTTCCAAGTGTGTCATGTCTGCCACGTGGTCCTGGGCTGGCAGTCTTTCCTGTTTATAATTCATCATTTAATCATATTTTTAGGGGACATACATGTGCAGACTTCCATTTTACCCAAATGAATCTGTTTTGGTTTATTTCCTCATGCCTAAATGTTAGGCATCAAACCTAAATTACCTAAATTAATATAATTTATTTTTCATCTTGTCAGTGCAAAACAAAGGTGTTCTTAAGATAAAGCACTGAAGACCAGAATCCTTCCTCCTCTTCTATTTCTTGAGTCAGTAGAAAGGAAACAGTTCTGTAAACATGTGTGGGTCTGTGTCCATGTGTGCATGGACCCACTGCTTTAACTGGTTTTGTTCCAGTTAAGCACTGAGTGGCCTTGTCTCATTCAAAACGGAGATTCCCGAAGCGCCTGGACTTTCATCAAGGCCCGTTTCAACTGCTCGTAGGTCACAAACATCACCACGTTCCAGGTTCCCAAACGCAAGAAGGAGGGTGTAAATCTGGTCAGAGAAACAATAAAACATCAGGTGGAGCATTGGTGCCCAGCCTTCTGTTAGTCACAAGCATTTTCTGAGATCTGTTCAGTCGTTTTCTTCTCTGCTGATGGAGTTTAGGCAGAAGATGGAGTCAGAAAAGGAAAGAAAACTTACATTTTGAGCCAGGTTACTGTGTCAGGCAATTATTCCCTCAGTTCTGTAAAGTGGCTAGGATGGTTGCCAGGCTTCTTCTTTAGAAACTGAGGCCCAGGACAGTTAAGCAGCTCATCTACAACCACCTGGGTGCACCCTGCTGCTGGGTGTTTCTGAGCTCATTTACATGCTGAGTGGCCATCCCTGAGGAGGCCCCTGCCCCGTCACCACAGGGCCAAGACAGTGTGACACCAAATTTACCTAATCTCCAGGGAGCCTGCCTGTCCTGTGACAGCACAGCTGGGAGGCGGTCCCCACCTCAGCTGCACTTCTCAGACTGAGGGAGCCCTGGGTCCCTGGCCTGGCCCCTGCCCTACTCTGCAGCCTCTCTCTCTGCTAGTCTCCTCCTGGTCCTCCCTGCTCCTGCCAGACTTCTACTTCCAGGCCTTTGTCCATGGTGCGCCTCTGCTTGGAATGTGCCCTACTCTCCTTCCTTGTCTGGCTTGTTTCTCTTGGCTCTGCAGGACTCAGCCTGGGCACCAGAACCTCATGCCTCAGCCCCTCACATAGTATAGCCCTGGATCAACAAATATGAACTCGAGTCAGACCTGAGTTCACATCCTAGCTCTATTAGTTCCCAGCTGCATGACCTCGGACAAGTTCCTTAACCTGTCTGAGCCTCAATGTCCTCATCCATAAAATGAGGAAAGTAACGATGTTTATGTCATAGAGTTGCCATGAAGGATTAAAAGAGTTAATAAACAGCACACAACACAGGGCCCAGTACCAGTGAATGCTCAATAAATGCCACTATGTGCCTGCTGCTCTTTGAGGGAAGCATAGCCAAGGCTCAGCACATACCAGATGCTCAATACACGTTTGGCAAATGAAAGAATAAATGGAGACAAGTGACTACATTTGATAGAGACACTTGGAAAAGAACCATCTTTTGACTGAAAGCAGTTTTTTTAATGTCATTCCCAGAGTTGGTAACCTGACTGCTTTTTGGGTCCAGTCTCCCACTGGGCCCCGGAAAGCTATTTTCTGGAGGCACTGGCAGTGGGAGGTGAGAGGGCCGAGCAAAGAGCTTGGTGGTAAGAGGGATGATGACGTTTTGCATGGCATCTGGGGTCTGGGTTTGAGCTGTGGCTGTGCCATTGTAAATTTGTGATCTTGGGCAAGTTACTTGCCCTTTTTGAGTCTTGATCTCTTCTTCAGTCAGTGTGGAGAACACTGCTCAGTTCAGGGGGCTGTTGAGATACTGTATGTGAAATGCTTAGCACAAGGCCTAACCCAGCAATGCAGTGATCATGACTGTTAATAACTGACATTATCAAGTGCTGGCTTTGTGCTGGGACTCTGGGAGGTGAAAGATGTATAAGCCACCAGTCCTGGCTTCAAGGAGCTTACACTCTAGCATGGGGGCTAATTTAAACTTACAGATGCTGTAACACAAAGTAGAAGGTGGTAAATACTAAAAGAAATGGTAGCAAGGAAGTATTGCTGAAGTTCACAGAGAGGAGGAAATATTTATACCTGAGGGTGTTGGGGAGGAGGTGGCGTCTGAACTAGTCTTGAAGGACGGCTAAGGTCTGGAGAACATAGCATGGGAAAGGCATTACATGCAGAGGGAACGGTAAAAGTACCTGAAGCCAGAAAACGTGACCATCTTGGGCCCTGCAGCTGCTGTCAGTGGGGAGCCCCCATCGCGGCAGGGGGTCGGCAAAGGGTATCAGGTTACCAAACTCCTTTCCCTCCTTCTCCCCTGCCACTAAGTTTGGGGATAGACAGCGCTACAACCTATGCCTAGACTCCTTTTTCTTAGGTAAGCCTTTCCTGACTCTCTAAATTAGATTTCATCCATCTTTTTTTTTTTTTAACTTACATAGTTCATTATACTTGACCTTGGCGGCATTTACATCTGTGCTGTTCACCACTGTGTCCCCAGATGCACCCATGGTATACGCACAGGATACATGGAAGGAAGGGGGTGGGAGGAGGGAAACAAGCTCAGGTTCTCTGGGCGGGGTGCTGGAGGCAGGAGGGGGAGGCTCACCCTTTGTAGAAGGCTGTGGGGCCCTCCCAGGCCACCATCTTCAGCATACAGTCCAGGGGGCTGCGGTACTGGCCTGGGGGCGAGTTCATGTACCGGGTCTTCACCACATCCACTGGGGAGGCCACCACCGTGGCACAGAAGCCGGCTCCAAAGGCGGAGACGAAGTGGCAGGGTAAGTTGTCTGTCGCAAGGAAGGGAAGAGCAAACGCCGGGCTGTGAGATGGGACCATGCTTGCTTTCTGTTCCGTATGTGTTTGTCGTTTGTCCCCAGCTAAACTGCGAACTCCTTGAGCAGAAGGAGAGTATTTTCCATATTTCTCATGGTGCCCAGGGTGGAGTTCTGGGTAAGTACTTGAAAAATAGAACTGGGTTGTCCCAGAGTTGGATGATTTCCTCATTTGAGGAAACTGATGTCAGAGAAGGTGACCTCCACTTAAAGATACATGGTGAGAAGTGGTGCTGGGCTGGGGCCCTGGCCTCTGGCCTCCCACCCGGGGCTCCTTCCCACTCATCACACTGATGTGCTGGGCCCTTTTTACTGAGTTCGGCTGTCCTGCTCCTTCTAACACCCACTGCCTTTGCATGAGGGCCCTGCGGAGTTCCTGTTCCCTCTCTGCTGTTGGTGTGCTGCCTGCGCCACAGTCTCACCGGTGAGCAGGTGATAGTCTAGCAGCTTCTCCTTGATGATGTCATAGGTCACCATCTCAGCACAGTTGACAATGGCATTCCTTGTGATGTTGGGCCACGTTCCTGTTAGGAAGGAGGGGGGCTGATGACTGGGGAAAGGAGAAGTGGACCCCCAGGCTTCGAGGCCATAGGCCCCATTTTGGGGGACATTGTGCCCATTCTAGTGATCTCAGAGGAGCCCACTTCAGCTGAGCAGATCCCACCCTTTCCTTTCTGGTGTTAACTCTCAGCTTACCCATGCCCACCTTAGGACAGAAAACAGAAGCCTTTTTATGTTTGAGCCATGTTTTGAAAGATAATCTGCAACATCTATCAAAATTAAAGTATGCCCCCTGAGACTTGACTAGAGCTGGAAAAGGATGTCTATCTCTGTTAGAGGGAGGTGGGGCACCTGGAGCGGTGACAGAATGTCCCTGACCGGGCCCAGGGAGAAGGTCAGGCCCAGCCCCAGTTTCACAGATGAGGGCTGGGCTCCGGGAGGCACATGGCACAGGAGGCTGTGGTCCAAGTCTCCTGTCCTCAACCTTCACAGGTTGCTGTTTCTCCTGCAAGTGCTCATGATTCTTGGTCCACATGTGGGTGTCAAGGTGGCTGCCATTCAGACACATTGGGAACCCTGCAGCCCTGCTCCCGAGGAATCCCCTTCCTCACGGCGTCCCCTCATGGCTGCCTCCTCTGGTGCCTCTGCTCCGTCTCTTGGCCCTGCAGTCATCCCTCTTAGGCCTGTGCTGGAAACACTCTTCCCTCCATCCCACACGCCCTGAGCTTGCTGAACCTTGAGGCCTAGCTTACCTGTCACCTCCCTCCTGAGCCCACATGGCCTCTCCTCTGTCTCTGGCCCTGAACTCTGTGTGGACCTAGCACAGCCTGCCCTCTGGCATGGCTGTTCCTTGACACGTTTCATCTCTTGTGTGTCTGTGGCAGTTGTGAGCAGGTGGAGGCTGTCTTCTATTCATTTCTGTCTTCCTCACACCAGCCTGCACATGGCAAAGGGCTGGCAAGCTGAACTGAACTGGGGGTACTATGGCTGGTTAGTGTGATATTTTTGGTTGGGGTATCCTTTCAGAGTCACTAGAACACACCATGGCGGGAGTCTCCTCACTCGGTTCCCTGCCCCAGACCTAGGGTAGGGGAAGCTCTGCCGCAGGCCCCAAGTCCAGAGTCCACACCTACCTTTCCACAGAGTGGCTAGGATGGTTGCCAGGCTTCTTCTTTAGAAACTGAGGCCCAGGACAGTTAAGCAGCTCATCTACAACCACCTGGGTGCACCCTGCTGCTGGGTGTTTCTGAGCTCATTTACATGCTGAGTGGCCATCCCTGAGGAGGCCCCTGCCCCGTCACCACAGGGCCAAGACAGTGTGACACCAAATTTACCTAATCTCCAGGGAGCCTGCCTGTCCTGTGACAGCACAGCTGGGAGGCGGTCCCCACCTCAGCTGCACTTCTCAGACTGAGGGAGCCCTGGGTCCCTGGCCTGGCCCCTGCCCTACTCTGCAGCCTCTCTCTCTGCTAGTCTCCTCCTGGTCCTCCCTGCTCCTGCCAGACTTCTACTTCCAGGCCTTTGTCCATGGTGCGCCTCTGCTTGGAATGTGCCCTACTCTCCTTCCTTGTCTGGCTTGTTTCTCTTGGCTCTGCAGGACTCAGCCTGGGCACCAGAACCTCATGCCTCAGCCCCTCACATAGTATAGCCCTGGATCAACAAATATGACCTCGGACAAGTTCCTTAACCTGTCTGAGCCTCAATGTCCTCATCCATAAAATGAGGAAAGTAACGATGTTTATGTCATAGAGTTGCCATGAAGGATTAAAAGAGTTAATAAACAGCACACAACACAGGGCCCAGTACCAGTGAATGCTCAATAAATGCCACTATGTGCCTGCTGCTCTTTGAGGGAAGCATAGCCAAGGCTCAGCACATACCAGATGCTCAATACACGTTTGGCAAATGAAAGAATAAATGGAGACAAGTGACTACATTTGATAGAGACACTTGGAAAAGAACCATCTTTTGACTGAAAGCAGTTTTTTTAATGTCATTCCCAGAGTTGGTAACCTGACTGCTTTTTGGGTCCAGTCTCCCACTGGGCCCCGGAAAGCTATTTTCTGGAGGCACTGGCAGTGGGAGGTGAGAGGGCCGAGCAAAGAGCTTGGTGGTAAGAGGGATGATGACGTTTTGCATGGCATCTGGGGTCTGGGTTTGAGCTGTGGCTGTGCCATTGTAAATTTGTGATCTTGGGCAAGTTACTTGCCCTTTTTGAGTCTTGATCTCTTCTTCAGTCAGTGTGGAGAACACTGCTCAGTTCAGGGGGCTGTTGAGATACTGTATGTGAAATGCTTAGCACAAGGCCTAACCCAGCAATGCAGTGATCATGACTGTTAATAACTGACATTATCAAGTGCTGGCTTTGTGCTGGGACTCTGGGAGGTGAAAGATGTATAAGCCACCAGTCCTGGCTTCAAGGAGCTTACACTCTAGCATGGGGGCTAATTTAAACTTACAGATGCTGTAACACAAAGTAGAAGGTGGTAAATACTAAAAGAAATGGTAGCAAGGAAGTATTGCTGAAGTTCACAGAGAGGAGGAAATATTTATACCTGAGGGTGTTGGGGAGGAGGTGGCGTCTGAACTAGTCTTGAAGGACGGCTAAGGTCTGGAGAACATAGCATGGGAAAGGCATTACATGCAGAGGGAACGGTAAAAGTACCTGAAGCCAGAAAACGTGACCATCTTGGGCCCTGCAGCTGCTGTCAGTGGGGAGCCCCCATCGCGGCAGGGGGTCGGCAAAGGGTATCAGGTTACCAAACTCCTTTCCCTCCTTCTCCCCTGCCACTAAGTTTGGGGATAGACAGCGCTACAACCTATGCCTAGACTCCTTTTTCTTAGGTAAGCCTTTCCTGACTCTCTAAATTAGATTTCATCCATCTTTTTTTTTTTTTAACTTACATAGTTCATTATACTTGACCTTGGCGGCATTTACATCTGTGCTGTTCACCACTGTGTCCCCAGATGCACCCATGGTATACGCACAGGATACATGGAAGGAAGGGGGTGGGAGGAGGGAAACAAGCTCAGGTTCTCTGGGCGGGGTGCTGGAGGCAGGAGGGGGAGGCTCACCCTTTGTAGAAGGCTGTGGGGCCCTCCCAGGCCACCATCTTCAGCATACAGTCCAGGGGGCTGCGGTACTGGCCTGGGGGCGAGTTCATGTACCGGGTCTTCACCACATCCACTGGGGAGGCCACCACCGTGGCACAGAAGCCGGCTCCAAAGGCGGAGACGAAGTGGCAGGGTAAGTTGTCTGTCGCAAGGAAGGGAAGAGCAAACGCCGGGCTGTGAGATGGGACCATGCTTGCTTTCTGTTCCGTATGTGTTTGTCGTTTGTCCCCAGCTAAACTGCGAACTCCTTGAGCAGAAGGAGAGTATTTTCCATATTTCTCATGGTGCCCAGGGTGGAGTTCTGGGTAAGTACTTGAAAAATAGAACTGGGTTGTCCCAGAGTTGGATGATTTCCTCATTTGAGGAAACTGATGTCAGAGAAGGTGACCTCCACTTAAAGATACATGGTGAGAAGTGGTGCTGGGCTGGGGCCCTGGCCTCTGGCCTCCCACCCGGGGCTCCTTCCCACTCATCACACTGATGTGCTGGGCCCTTTTTACTGAGTTCGGCTGTCCTGCTCCTTCTAACACCCACTGCCTTTGCATGAGGGCCCTGCGGAGTTCCTGTTCCCTCTCTGCTGTTGGTGTGCTGCCTGCGCCACAGTCTCACCGGTGAGCAGGTGATAGTCTAGCAGCTTCTCCTTGATGATGTCATAGGTCACCATCTCAGCACAGTTGACAATGGCATTCCTTGTGATGTTGGGCCACGTTCCTGTTAGGAAGGAGGGGGGCTGATGACTGGGGAAAGGAGAAGTGGACCCCCAGGCTTCGAGGCCATAGGCCCCATTTTGGGGGACATTGTGCCCATTCTAGTGATCTCAGAGGAGCCCACTTCAGCTGAGCAGATCCCACCCTTTCCTTTCTGGTGTTAACTCTCAGCTTACCCATGCCCACCTTAGGACAGAAAACAGAAGCCTTTTTATGTTTGAGCCATGTTTTGAAAGATAATCTGCAACATCTATCAAAATTAAAGTATGCCCCCTGAGACTTGACTAGAGCTGGAAAAGGATGTCTATCTCTGTTAGAGGGAGGTGGGGCACCTGGAGCGGTGACAGAATGTCCCTGACCGGGCCCAGGGAGAAGGTCAGGCCCAGCCCCAGTTTCACAGATGAGGGCTGGGCTCCGGGAGGCACATGGCACAGGAGGCTGTGGTCCAAGTCTCCTGTCCTCAACCTTCACAGGTTGCTGTTTCTCCTGCAAGTGCTCATGATTCTTGGTCCACATGTGGGTGTCAAGGTGGCTGCCATTCAGACACATTGGGAACCCTGCAGCCCTGCTCCCGAGGAATCCCCTTCCTCACGGCGTCCCCTCATGGCTGCCTCCTCTGGTGCCTCTGCTCCGTCTCTTGGCCCTGCAGTCATCCCTCTTAGGCCTGTGCTGGAAACACTCTTCCCTCCATCCCACACGCCCTGAGCTTGCTGAACCTTGAGGCCTAGCTTACCTGTCACCTCCCTCCTGAGCCCACATGGCCTCTCCTCTGTCTCTGGCCCTGAACTCTGTGTGGACCTAGCACAGCCTGCCCTCTGGCATGGCTGTTCCTTGACACGTTTCATCTCTTGTGTGTCTGTGGCAGTTGTGAGCAGGTGGAGGCTGTCTTCTATTCATTTCTGTCTTCCTCACACCAGCCTGCACATGGCAAAGGGCTGGCAAGCTGAACTGAACTGGGGGTACTATGGCTGGTTAGTGTGATATTTTTGGTTGGGGTATCCTTTCAGAGTCACTAGAACACACCATGGCGGGAGTCTCCTCACTCGGTTCCCTGCCCCAGACCTAGGGTAGGGGAAGCTCTGCCGCAGGCCCCAAGTCCAGAGTCCACACCTACCTTTCCACAGGCCCTTGATGCCTTCCTCTCTGGCGATGGTCCTGTAGGCATCCATTGTCCCGCTGTACTTCCTGTCGCTCCCAGGCCCAAGGCACATGCTGGCCTGAAACCGGATCTTCACCACATCTGTGGGCTGGGCGCAGGTCACTGCCATGGCCCCTGTGGTGCAGCCCGCCAAAATCCGGGTGGTGATGCTGGAGCCTGGGGAGAAGGAGAGAGTGGCCAGTGTCTCACCACTCAGCACCTCTCTGGGCCTGGTGCTGCTTTCCTGGGGCTGCCCCTGCCTCTTTTCCTGGCCCAGGGTTCTGGAGCTTCCTTGATGGGGTCTCAGAGTCTCCTCATGAGCATCCGTTACCAGCTTCCCACGCCCCAGCTCTGCCTGTGTCTGCCCTGCTCTGCTCTCTGACCCACACGCCTAGATCCTGTTTTTACCCGCCCCCTTGGTGTCCCTGGGACTCTAGGCACTCACAATCCGATCCTTTGGGGGTGTAGAACTGCTTAACGGAGTCATAGAGGCCAATACGGATGGAGGCGAAGCTCATCTGGCGCTGCAGGCCGGCGATCAGCCCGTTGTAGGGGCTACGGGCACCCTCGGTGCGCACCATGGTCAGAATGGTGCCCAGCACGCCGCGGTACTGGGCGCTCTGTGCTGCGTGGTTCTCCCCCTGGATCTGAGGGAGGTGTGAGGAGCAGATGGAGGCGGGTGGGGCCATATGCAGAGGGACCTGCCTGTGGCTGGACCTCAAGAACATGGCGATCACAGCCATCAGGTCCCAGTAAAAAGCACCGAGGTTTGTGCGCAGTTTACAGCTCACCACTGTTCAAACCTCAGAGCAAATGATGGGCAGATTGTTTTCCCACAGCAAGTGGTCAGTGGCTTGCCCAAGGTCACACAGATACTTAGTTCTGCTTCCTGGTTTACAAAAGTAGGGCCAGGACATGAATTTTAGGGCCCTGTCATTGTCATGCCAAGGAATTAAGGTTTTTTTGTCTTAGGTGATAGTGATGGGGAGGCAGCAGGGAAGGGTCCCAAGCAGGGGAGCAAGTGGCCTGCTCAGGGTTCTGTGTGAGAGCACCCTGGCAGACTGTAGGGGTTGTAGTGGGGAAGCCAGCCTCTCCTTTGATGTGAACAATGACCTTTGGCCAAAGGGCACCTACCTGCAGGCGGACCTTGGCTGTGTCCAGTGGAAAGGTGAGGAGGTCAGCAAAACAGGCAGCCGTGCCTGCTCCCAAGAACTTCACAGCTGTTGTGGGAGGCACCTCTGAAGGCTTTAGTCCAACCATGGTCCCAGAAGGCTCTGCCTAGTCCCTCCAGGGTCCAGAGGAGGTCCGGGGAGGGGAGGCCACTCTGTAGTCCTGGGCTTTAGTGCAGGGAGGAGGCTGCAGAAGGCAGGCCAGAGGACGCAGATGGAACCTGGGTCCCCTGAGCACTGGGAAGCCTTTGGCAAGTAAAAAGTCTGGGCGTTGCCATGCTTAGCTGTTTGGATTTGGTTTATAAAGACAGGTCACTTCCTATCCTTTCTCTCCTGTGATCCTTCACTGCCCCCTCTGCCCTCTTCCCCACTGGAGGTGGATCTTCAGTGAGTTAGGCTTTGAAAGGTGGGCGGGATTTCAACAGCTGGAGAGGTGGAAAGGGTGTTCCAGTTGCAGAGAAAGGCATGAGCTTGCAAGAGTCCAGGGCATGGCTTAGGGTGGGGTGGGGGGCATGCCTACCTGGCCGTGAGGACCCCACAGAGGAGCTTTACATACAATCTCATTGAATCCACAACTTCCTGAGAGGTAGTTGCTCCTTTCCTCTACTTTTGGATGAGCAAACCAAGGCCCTGTGTCATTAGCTTGCTAAGTGTTACCAGCCATTAGTTTCAGGGATTGGTTCACTCTGCTCTACAGTCCTGGAATGAAGGCAGGGCTGCATTTAAAGCCATTTTAAAGATGAGAAAATAGAGGCTTGAGAGGGGAAGTGACTGACTTAAAGTCACAGAACTCCAACCAACTTTAACATGTCAATAAAGTTCCCTTCACCATTGCCCCTGGGGCACCTGGGGATGTAGTGGTAGGGATTTCGACAGTCCTGCCTTTTCTTTCGGTATCATTAATATACAATTATATGAGGAACATTATGGTTACTAGACTCCCCACATTATCAAGTCCCCACCACATACCCCATTACAGTCACTGTCCATCAGCATAGTAAGATGCTATAGAATCACTACTCTGTGTTGCACTGCCTTCTCCATTCACCCCCCACCTACACCATGTGTGCTAATCGTAATGCTCCCTTTTCCCCCTTATCACTTCCTTCCCACCCATCCTCCCCAGTCCCTCTTCCTTTGGTAACTGTTAGTCCATTCTTGGGTTCTGTGAGTCTGCTGCTGTTTTGTTCCTTCAGTTTTTTCTTTGTTCTTATACTCCACAGATGAGTGAAATCATTTGATACTTGTCTTTCTCTGCCTGCCTTATTTTACTGAGCATAATACCCTCTAGTTCCATCCATGTTGTTGCAAATGGTAGGATTTGTTTTCTTCTTATGGCTGAATAATATTCCATTGTGTATATGTACCACCTCTTCTTTATCCATTCATCTACTGATGGACACTTAGGTTGCTTCCACATCTTGGCTATTGTAAATAGTGCTGCGATAAACATAGGGGTGCATATGTCTTTTTGACACTGGGGAACTGCATTCTTAGGGTAAATTCCTAGAAGTGGAATTCCTGGGTCAAATGGTATTTCTATTTTTAGTTTTTTGAGGAACCTCCATACTACTTTCCATAATGGTTGAGCTAGTTTACATTCCCACCAGCAGTGTAGGAGGGTTCCCCTTTCTCCATATCCTCGCCAACATTTGTTGTTGTTTGGCTGTTGTATAGTGGCGATCCTTACTGATGCGAGGTAATATCTCATTGTGGTTTTAATTTGCATTTCTCTGTTGATTAGTGATGTGGAGAATCTTTTCATGTGCCTGTTGGCCATCTGGATTTCTTCTTTGGAGAAGTGTCTGTTGAGATCCTCTGCCCATTTTTTAATTGGATTATTTGCTTTTTGTTTGTTGAGGGGCATGGGTTTTTTATATATTTTGGATGTCAACCATTTATTGGGTATGTCATTTATGAATATATACTCTGATACTGTAGGATGCCTTTTTGTTCTATTGATGGTGTCCTTTGCTGTACAGAAACTTTTCAGCTTGACATAGTTCCACTTGTCCATTTTTTACTTTGTTTCCCTTGCCTGGGGAGATATGTCCATGAAGAAGTCACTCATGTTTATGTCCAAGAGATTTTTGCCTATGTTTTTTTCTAACAGTTTTATGGTTCCATGACTTACATTCAGGTCTTTGATCTGTTTCAAATTTACTTTTGTGTATGGGGTTAGACAGTGATCCAGTTTCATTCTCTTACATATAGCTGTCCAGTTTTGCCAGCACCATCTGTTGAAGAGACTGTCATTTCCCCATTGTATGTCCATGGCTCCTTTTTCGTATATTAATTGACCATATATGGTTGGGTTAATATCTGGACTGTCTATATTCTGTTGCACTGGTCTATGGGTCTGTTCTTGTGCCAGTACCAAATTGTCTTGATTACTGTGGCTTTGTAGTAGAGCTTGAAGTTGGGAAGCAAGATCCCCCCAGCTTTATTCTTCCTTCTCAGGATTGCTTTGGCTATTTGGGGTCTTTTGTGGTTCCATATGAATTTTAGAACTATTTTTTCTAGTTCATTGTAGAATGTTGTTGGTATTTTGATAGGGTTTGCATTGAATCTGTAGATTGCTTTAGGTAGGATGGCCTTTTTGACAATATTAATTCTTCCTACCCAAGAGTATGGGATGAATTTCCATTTGTTAGTGTCCTCTTTAATTTCTCTTAAGAGTGTGTTGTAGTTTTCAGGGTATAGGTCTTTCACTTCCTTGGTTAGGTTTATTACTAGGTATTTTATTCTTTTTGATGCAATTATGAGTGGAATTTTTTCCTGATTTCTCTTT